CACTGCAGGGGACTATGCTTCTAGATTCCTCGATGAACCTGCGCCAACGAGCACGGAATTCTCTCTCACACAGCTAGAACGCACGTTATCCTCCTTAGGCACCAGCGATAACGACCGTTGCGCGGGATCCAGGACCTTGACCCAACAACGCAACATCCCTAAACTCTATTCATAACGCACTCCATTTCCAATGCATTCCAATTCCATACACCACCCCCAAGACGGCTAGCCTCGCCGTGCATCGTACTCATTTTGTCGGCGCATCTCGCATCTTTTCTCTTCCGTCCATCCACCATTCTCATCTTCCAGCGTGCGTTCGCGCCCTCCTCTCGCTCGTCTAGTACCATCTCTAGCCCGGTGCTACTAGATGTTCCGCTCTTTCCCGACTTTCGTTCTTGGGCTTGCTTTTGCTGTCGTCGGTAGTGCGGGAGAGAGGCATTCAGTGGGGTTTGATAATGCTTGTGGATTTGGCACGGTACGTCGCTCATGAGCGAGCTGTTTTTCTACTTCTCTACCCGTGCTAAACCTAGGCTTGGCTTTTCTTTAGCCCACGCTCATAAGCGGATCGGGCGAGGTGCTTTCCACCGGTAGCGCGTACGTCACATAACATCGCAGTTGACCATTTCCAGTCGACTGACATAGTTCAACACCCAGGCACACCGTTAACGCTGGTCTCAATGCACGGGCGTTCTTGCAGACAGGAGACTGTGGTAGCGATGGTGCGCGATGCACGATGGTGGAGATGAATCTGGGAGCGCAATCGTTTGTGGATATCAGTGTAATGTGAGTCGCATTCGCTCAGCGTTGTTCTTGGATGCTGACTAGGACGTTGCAATAGGTCTGGATTCTCTGTGGAGACGGCGTTTGAGTTTGTAAATCAGTGTTCTGGGCGGGGTGCTTCGTGTGAGTTACTCTAGGTTCGCGGTAGCTTTGGAGTGTCGAGGACTGACCTTTTCCGACACAACATAGGCCCGAACGAAGACTGTCCCAACGCAATACGCTCACCCACTGATGGTAGTGCGCTAGTGATGTGCCCAAGCCAGGACGTAGACCTACTCGTACGTCTGGACGCTACTACAGCCCCTGCGCTTGAAGTTGGCCCCTAACAACCTCCTATAGATCACTTTCTGTGGAGGAAGTGCCGACCAGCCACGACCACAACCTGACCCTCAACCTGACCCTCAACCCGATCCACAAGATACAGATACCACTAGCTCCTCCTCCAGCACCACCGAACGCGAAGAAAACACTCAGACGACGCCGACCCCCGACCAGTCTCCTACGACGTCAGATACCCAGTCATCAAGTACCTCCCGGTCCTCGTCGTCTTCCTCTCAGTCAGAATCAAACTCGGAGTCCAGATCGGATAACAGCTCTTCGACACCAACCGCAGGATCCGAAGGCTCTTCTCCGTCATCCGAAGGTGGTGGAGGTCCCTCAGAGACAGGTTCGCTCAGCGGGTCTTCCGGAGCTGTGAACGAGCCTACTGATTCTCTCTCTGCTTCGCCTACAGGTGTAAACGAGCAGGAGAACGAAGGTGGAGATGGAAATGCGCCTGACGGCGGAGGTGGTGAAGGGTCATCGGATGGGGAGGGAAAGAAGGATGGGGGATTCTCCAAGGGGGCGTTAATTGGTGTGGCTGTTGCCAGTGCGATCGTCGCCGTCATTTTGGTCTTGCTGCTTCTGCTGTGTCTGAGGAGGAGAAGAAGACAGCGGAGGTTGTCGCAAATCGGGAAGCGGGGCGGGACAAGGGACGACGAGGACTGTTACTTCGATACGCCAAACTCGACTGGTGAGTTCTCTGCACGGGAAATGGCCCAAGTCCGCTGACCGACGGCTGTGTATCTTCTAGCGCACCTCACAGTCTCGCCATACCACCAAACTTCCGCCCAGACCTACCCGCCCACCCACCCAGACAAAATCGCTCCTCCATCCCCTCCAACTGTGGTGACCAACATCGCCCCTTCATCACAGCCCTCAGCCACTTCACCATCAGAAGGCAACGGCACCTCCAACGTCGCGGGGTCGCCAACGAGTGCCCCCGATGCCGTTTCGCCCACATCGACAGATCCACACGACCAGCAGAGATTACTTGACCTTGTCCGGTCGTTACAGGAGCGGATCGACCAAATAGATGGTGACGGTGAGGCGACGGCGGTCCCTCCACCGCCTTATGCGCCTCAGTCGTAACGTCTTTGACATCTATACAAGTATTACTTCCCACATTTCGGACTTCTCTTTCCTCTCTCTTCTCGGTCTTACGCTGCTGTGTTTGTTATCTGATGTGGACGTGTCATATCCTACCACCTTCCTTATTTTGTAAAGTAGATCACGCACTCGTTTCCTTGTATGCAATCCTTGGCTGCATGCTATGCTCGCGCACTGTACCCAGTGCAGAGCTAAAACACGCGCCTGTCTGTTTCGGTGATGCAAAAGAGCTCCGTACGGTAAGTACTGCAAGTGGTGCATACTGATTAGAACAGTCGTCGCATCGCAGCTCGCCAGACGTGAGCGGAGTGGAAGGGTCCTCAGCAGACCACGTCGTTGTCATGACATGTATACAACACAACGGTCGCTCATCATAGGGTGTCGGAAGACAGACCTCGAAGAGTGCGCCACTAGTATGAGGGAATCATTCATTCAGTCCACCACGAGTTCCCAGCGTCGTAGAGAACCAAGTCAAGACAGATATACTCGTACTGCGTGCACACCTGGATCCAACCTAGATCCGTATACATCCACGAATGTACCGTACGTAGTTGTACGTCAAGGTGGACCTTGCATGACCCCAGTACGAATGTACAACAGCAGCACGGAAGTCAGACTCCCGGCGGCATTGACACCGTAGCGCGTACGGCAACAACATTCTTTGGAGCCAGCGGCAAGCGAGGAGTAAATTTACAAAAGAGATCGAGATGCGTTATAACGCCGCTCTTAGCTCGCTTTGACTCGATTTCACGAGGCGCAAGAAGCCCGAAATTAGTAAATAGCGCATGATTCCCCAGAAGCTTCGAGTTGCCGAGAGTCGCGAATCTTCGAGACCGCAAGCAAGCCAAAGCCTAGGGTTGCACAATGTTGGGGTATGAGGTGATTTCATGAGGAAAGCAGGCTACTTTGTAAACGCAAAGTAGCACTACTCGTCGTACACGCGGGTAATGTAAAGGTTCGGTATCATGGAGCAACATAGAGTCCAGCGAAGGGTATACGAAAGTGTCCATGACCGTAACACAATAAGAAACACCCTAAATCCCAGCTCCTCCGTCACATCGTCGCTTAGATGAGGATAGCACCGACAGCGGCGGCACCAGCAGCCCAGATCATGCCGGGGGCGAGGCCAAGAGCAGCACCCTCATCAGCGGGGGAGTCCTCAGGGGCAGGCTCGGTGGGGTCGGGGTTGGCGGCAGAGTCGGACTCGTCGGCAGCAGACTCCGACGCAGACTGGGAGGCGGCGGACTGGGAGGCGGACTCCGATGCAGACTCGGAGGCGGCGGACTGGGAGGCGGACTGGGAGGCGGACTCGGCAGAGGCGGAGGGGTCAGCGCCGGAAGCGGAGGTGGTGACTGAACGGGTAAACAAGAACGTGTGAGCTGTGAAGATCGAAAGAACTGTTGTCACGTACAGTCACCGCACTGAGTGGCCTGGAGAGCCAAAGCAGCGTCGAGCTGGTCGGCGCATTTCTCGTTCAGGCACCCGAGGAAGGTCTCCTGGAACACACTGTTGGTGCACATGCACTCAACGTCGGTGCTAGAAATAAACAGTGTAAGCCTTCGACGCAGCGTTGTGAAGAAAAGGAGGTGCTTACGGGACATCACATTCGCCATTTCCAGCCGCGAGACACTCGCCAAGGCACGCGCCAATATCCTGAGCAGAGACGGAAGCCACGAAGAGGGCAGCAGCGAGGACAGTGATCTTGTTGAACATCGTGAGGGGGGGGGGGCGTGGGACGAAAGGTCTGGTGTTTGAAGACGGTGGTGGTGGTGGTGAAAGGAAAAAGGAAGAACGCAAAAGGTCAGCAAGGTTGTGGTCCCACTATTTATACGGGGAGACAGATTTTCTAGGTTCGTTGGCTGACGTTGATCGAAGGATATCTCGGGCGAATTTGTCTGATGTCCAGCTAGCACTCTTCTCCTGTTCGCATCAATTCAAGTAATTTTTGTGGGGTAAATTCAAATGAGCGACGTTCCTGGCCATTCCTCTGCGTCTCCGAAGCGCTCCACCTTCATGTTTGTGGAGAATCCAAGGTGCTGCAACTCTGCGACGAAACTACACACTGTTTCGCGTAGTGCTTTCATGACCGTCTTTCTCCATGGTCATGAGCCAGACGACTATGGACGATGCCATGGTGCCCCTTGATATATCGACGGCTCCTGACTGTTCATCTAGTGTCTTGTTCATCACCCGCTCGCCCCACCCAGTGGGGAAAACACAGGCAAGTTCCGCGCACCTGGACCCTGAAACGCATGTAAAACTAGAAGTATCGTTCGACATTTTAGTTAGCGCGCGACCATGTGCTCGTGGCAAGAACCCCAAATCACCGGCTTCTTCTTGTTGTGAGCCCATTTGGCGGCGTCCTGGAAAAGCCACGGATATCTTCGAGCTCGACGCTCGACAGAGCTGAAAAGATCTGGGCACCCTGGCTAAGTACATGGAGCAAACATACATACATAGAAAGCCGACAAAGCGCGATGAGCAATGGCGGTCAGGGTAGCTCGGCTGTCAGTGTTTATGGGGTTCTCGCGAGTCACGTCTGTCTGTGTCTTTGTCGCTAGGCTGAGCTTCATTTGAGAGTCCGAGCCCTTTCCTCGGTAGTACCGTTACTACGGAGACTGCTGCACGTAGAAGGTTTACCCATTCGTCGTCTCGTCAGACTTTTACCCTTCCAAAACGATGTGCATAGCGCATCTCGCCCTGTGGCTATCACCAGTCAAGGTTAGTTGAGTAGCCGAAGGCACTGTGTACGTCTTTAAGATTGTGACAAAAAGTTTGAACATCAGTTCATCGGCCCTATGGTCTAGTGGTAAGATACCCGCTTTGGGAGTTGAATCTCTTGCGGGTGACCCTGGGTTCGAACCCCAGTGGGGCCCCATTAAATGGCATTCGAACTGTGTTCAAATTTTTACCCTTTCAAACAACCGGCAATCGAGAGCATCTTCCCACAGGCGGGGCCCCACTCCGAGCTCTGCTCACCTGAGCTTGACTCTTGAAGGATTCACCCACCATAGGTACTTTGTATGTCACTTACTTACAGTAGTGTTCAGTTTCATCGGCACCGCTGGCGGCTGAGTCCACCGTGGCCAGCGTCTAACCTTGGTCTAACCCCCCAAAATACGACCAGCCGTGAGCGGGTGGCATGTCACGGAATTAACTGACTCCCATCAGTAATCACATTGATCCTGACTGACTAACCCAACCACAGCGGCCACGGCAACACAACTGATTTCCATCTCCCTCCTCCGCGCCATGAATATACCAAGCTGTCCAACCGTTCGCTCGATTTCTTTCTTTCCCTTTCCCACCTCAAGGAGCCCGATTCAACCGTCGCCTTTCCTTAATTTCCGCTAGTAGATGATGTTCATAGCTACTTTTGCTACTGCTGTTCTCCTGGCTGCTGGTGCGCACGCACAGATGCCGCCATGCGCGCAGAACTGTATCTCGCAGGCTGTATCTGGGACTGGGTGTGGTGGACCGTGAGTCCTGTTCTTCCCCCTGCTACCTCGTCGCTGTGTGCAGCGACCAATCTCAAACGACGACGCTGATACACCCTTCCACCACCCAGAGCCGACCTGTCGTGCCTATGCACCAACAGCCGCTTCCAAGCTTCCTTCGGAGGTTGCTTATCAGGCAACTGTCCCGGAGAAGTCACCCAGATCCAGGCGGCGCTGACGCAGCAGTGCACTGACAGTACGTTCTTCCTTCTCTGCTCCTCCTCGCGTATGCATACCCACGCTGACGTCTGATGTAGTCGGAATCAACTTCAGCCACGGTGGTGCTCCTGGATCGACGCCTACGCCTGCGCCAGGTAGTGGGCAGACTCCTCCTGGTACTGGAGAGACTTCAGCTCCTGGTGGAGGTCAAACCCCTGGCTCTACTCCCCAACCTGGAGGCGGAGAGCAGGTTCCTTCGCCTGGTCAACCTCAACCAGGCACCGGAACTGGAGCGGAGCCGACTCCGACTTCTCCTCAGCCCCAGCCTGGGACACCACAACCCGATCCTCCTCAACCCGGAGGAGGCGATACGCCGACTCAACCACCAGCGAACGATAGCATTCGTCCCCCCGTCCCGCCCGCTGATGAAGACGAGGAAGATATCATAGGCAGTGAGGGGTCCCAGGAGCCTGCTACGTGGCCTCCGCCGGATGGTGGTGCGTTGAGGATGGGCGCGGGTGTTCGGGCGGCGTGGGCGTTGGTGGGGGTGGTCGTTGGTGGGGTGTTGGTGTAGACCGTTCTACTAGGTCCGTCTCGTCCTTTCTTGTGTATATTGACTGAGACTGATATCTTTTGTCAGTCTTTGGTGTTCGATCTGCGCTTCTGCTAAAACTCCTGCGGTGTGGTCTATTGGAGTCTCTCCTCTGGAAGGTTGCTTATCTGGGCGCTCCTTTCTTCACACACCACGTATCCTTTCCGTGAAGCTTATTTCTTTCTCTCGCGGGCTGACTATCTATCATGTATCTTGCCTTGGCTTTATATGTATACCCTCCGACTGGTTGCGAACTGTTCTTCTCGCTATATGCGCCCTGCTGTAGCTTGCTTTATGCGTGTATCTTGCTGGCGGGTCTTCCGCCGACCTCGTCGCCACGATGAAGAGTCGCCTGCGAACGTGTCATCCTTCGCACCGATCAATCGTTTATGACTTCCATAGAGCGTCGACAAAGAGCATTTACACCCGATGTACACCCTATCGCTCACATTGCCTTTGCGTATAGTACATAAACACAGACACATAGGCGTGTTCTCACTAGGTATACACAAGCACGAAGGTCCACCAATCTTACACCCCATTCAACCTCACCGCCGCCTCCAATAGCACCACCCCCGCCTTCGCCCCATCCACCACCTTCACCCCCTCCAGCCCAGCCTTCCTCGCCCCCTCCACCACCCAACCCTCCATCCCCGCCATTCCCGCACACCCAAGCACAATCGCATCGCTCCCATCCTCCACCACCTTCCTCGCCGCATCCTCCATCCTCTCCCTTACCAACGCCCTATCAAAGCTCTCGTCCTTAAGATCCACTACACGTAGACCAACGGTACGGAGTGATGCAAAGCGTGAAGAAGAGGTGGAGCCGAGGACGGAGTGAACCGCTGCGTCGATATGCGGTTGAGGGGTGGAGAGTGGACCGGTGGTGATGATTGAGAAACGGGTGGAGGTGAGGAGGGCGTGGATGATGGAAGATGTGAGGATGTGCATGCTTGGTTTGGGGGTATGTTCGGAGATGATGTGCGCTAGGGGGTGGTCGGAGACTGTAGTGGTGTCCTGCGTGAGACCAAAGGGATGGGACGAGGTGGATGAGGTGAGTGTGGACGTACAGCAACAAACCAAGAACCCATCTGCCTTCTCTAACCATCCATCCCTCTTTATAACCTCCCACGTCTTTAAAGCGCTCTCTACCCCTTCCGTTCGATTACTGATCCCCTTCGGCGCGTCCGGGGGGCCTGTGATGAATTCGAGTGTGCAGTCGGGCGGACATAGAGGCTGGAGGGATGTGCGGAGACCGTCGGTGATGGCGACGGTTGAGTTGGGGTTGATGACGAGGAGGGTTAATGGTTTGCGTCTGCGTGGTTGATTGGCGTCGGATGCGGAGGCGGGTTGGGATGAGGAGGACATGATGGTGGGTGGGAGAGAAATTTTGGACCCGACTCGGAGGTGGCGGATGGAGATGAGATTACAGCCTGATCGGAACGAGTTTTGGGTCCGAGAGCTCTAGAGCGAGCTCAGAATCACCAGCCAAGTTTTCTGACAGTGCCTTGCGATTGGAGCTCACAGTACTAGGTAGCTTGCATGTGTGTGTAGAATTGATACACCTCTCGAGGGACATGGCGACAGACAGATTATGTGATAACGCCAGCATCCGACAGTTGGAAGGAGAACTGGACACTTGCTGGACACGACTGAAAGCTACAAGGGGTATGGGACACGGTGCATCATCTATTTGCAGTGGTATCCGATAGAAACCCATGACAATCACCCTCTAAACGGTCTGTAAAGGGTGCCTATCCGCAGCACTCACGACAACCTTGAGCTTGTCCGCGACGTCACCGGGTATAGTCTTCAGCTCCTCTTGAATACGCTGAGCTAGAGTGGGAAGGTATCCGCGCTCCGTGTTGTCGTGGCCACCTACATGAAGGAAAAGCATTCGTTAGTGATCAAGCAAGAACGCAAGGGGGAGGTTAGACGAACAGAGTATAACGTTTCGGCCTGATGCGACGGAAGCGAGAATTTCGTGCTGGAGAGATGTAATTCTGTTAGCTTCGTATTGGAGGATGATGAGAAACTGCGAGCACGAACATGGGACATCTCTCCAGTGAAGTACAAGTCTGCGTTCTTGCCCACGAGCATCGACCCTCCGGAGCCCGCACAGATCGCTACCGTCCGAATGGGAGCCTTCTTCGCGTCCAACGTGCCATAACCGACTTGTACTGCAAACAAATGCGTCAGACATCATCTTCACACGCTTCCACACGCCAAAAGACGCACTATGCTTCAAATTCAACCCCTTCTTGATCCTCGTCTCCAATTGCTCCATCGTCACCGGTTTCTCAAACGTCAGTAACCTCCCCTCGGCCCCCTCACTCTCCCCCTCCTTATCAAGCTTCTCTCCCACCAACGCTTTACACGCACCACTCGTCCTCGCCCCGCCGGTCTTCTGCGCGCCGTAGATGACATCCGCGAGCCAGTCGTTCACACCGCCCCACACGGAGTCGATGGAAGTGTGCGGGGAGTAGATAGATATACCTTTCTCGACGCAGCGCAGGAGGGAGCGTTGGAGAGGGTTTTGGAGCGTGAGAGAGGTGAGGCCTTTGAAAATGGGAGGGTGGTAGGCGATGATGACGGAGGTGGGGGAGGACAGGGCTTCTTCGACGACGGCGGTGGTTAAGCTGGTATGGAGAGGATGAGAGCGTGTAGTTATAATTAGAGATTCAGAGTGAAAATGAGACGCACTCGATTGTGACGAGGACCTCGTTAGCGTTTGGACGGGGAGTGGGTGCTTCTGTGTGATGTCAAGTCGATGAGTCGAGGTTATCTGATAAACGCATCAGGGCAAAAGTAGGGACCTAGCAGTAGTCCAACCTATACGTCCAAGTAAAGAAACGCCAGGGATGTGAGTTCAGCACGCAAATGATGGCCAGTTGAGAAGAGCAGCAAGAACTGACGTTGTCCCATTTTTCTGCGAGCCGGAGCGGTGCGACGCGCTCAAATGCTCGGCAGATGGTCTGGATGGCAGTGAGGCTGGTGGTAGTGGCAGCCATTGTTGGTGGGTTTAAGCAAGCAAAGACTGGTACTAGGGGCTGGTGTGAAGTCTGCTTTCAAACAAATGGAGGGCCTAGATGCGAGTGGTGACGGTGCAACGACAGGCGCTCGTCAATGAGCGGGGGAGGAGGCACTGATCGCATCAAGCTGACTGGCAAAACAGCGCCTTGCGTCGGGGTCGAGACGTCGTCACTTGGCCTCCTACCCTCACCTTCGAACTCGACTCTCGAACGTAATCTCATTTCTTCACAAGTATCCACCGAAATAACTCTAGACATGCGAGAGATGGTCGTTCGCGTCAAGTACATGAGGATTGGGGGGAACGCACACGCGCGCCGGATTGCCAGTCCGTATTTTCTGATGATAGTTCATCATCTTGGAACCGACGAATGGCTGGCTTGAGCCTCATTGGTCATAAGAGTCTCCATTCATGGAGCGTTTACCAGTATTTCTACTACAGTCTAGACATACCGCTGTGGTTTTCACCGGGCCTTTTCATGTTCTCACGCTGCAGCTTCGCTGACGACGCCAACACCTCGATTCATTCACCTAAATTGATCTGCCTTCCCATCAGATTTTTGGAAGGTGGAGGGCGAGTATGTATCCATAACAGCGT